CTGGTTAAAAAGATAAAAGTGAGATAACAGACATCAGTTTTTCACTATAAATCTCTGGGTTTACTACAACATTAAAATTTCCAGTAAAAGCAAGGTTTTATATACCTGAACTCTAATGGCCTATTCTGAAAATATTTATGTCAGGAAAAGCATGGTATTTGCATGCCAAAAGCAGTTTTAGTGCCAATGCTTAGCATTCCCTTCCCATTTAACCCCTTCCCATCTCCTCGAGAGTGGTAGGTGCTCTGCCTAACGCCCATCCAGCACGCCTCCCTGTGCAGCCTCTCGGAGAAGGACGCTCCAGGTGCATCCTAAGGCAAAAAGTTGAACGCTTCTAATAAAATTCCACCACACAAAATACTTTCGTGATGGCTTAGGATGGAGTCTCTAACATGGTCTGAACCACTGATTTCACCGCCGTGCTCAGCATGCGAAACTACTCATTTCGAAGGGGCTAACTGCCTAATTGAAATGAAAGACAGGGACGGAAGGACCGGAAATTGGGCAACATGGTGCAACAGCTCAGAAGTAACGGGTCAAAACTCTCCGTAATTAGATGAGGTTTCTGGAGGTATGGGCAGTACTCCATTAGATTTATACTAAAGTTAAAACTGGAGCATGGTTCTGTGAGAGCCAAGTGTCTCGCCTTCAACATACAGGCGTCTTGATTCAGTGAGAAGGGAGGGCATTTGGCACCTATCCGGCCAAATTCAGCAATCGACAGGATTGACGCTGCAGAAAAGTATCGATTTTATCTATGCATTCTACTATAAAACAAACTTATTTAGGTATAATAATGTAGGCTAACGGCCTTACACCATAGCACACGAGACTCTCAGAGGTACGGAAGTTGATATTACTTCGGTTTTTGCAAACTGTAATTTCCTAAATTTAAGAAAGCTTTAGCAATGTAAGCTGATTTTCAGCAAAGTTTTGCTTTCTTCCCTGCTTCATACTAGCACGTGCAGGCCACAGCTTCTCAGGATAAGCCATTAACATAAATGTAACTTCTCAAAACACAGCAAACATACAGAAACATGACAAGTCTCTACTTGCCTTATCTCTCAGGGCTCTTACTTTTGGGGTTTTTTTGTTTGTGTGTTAGTTTGTTTTTGTGGAATAGAATTAGATTTCAGCATCTGTCACCATCAAGAAAAAACTCATCCCTGGCTCCCACATGAAAACATTGTAACCAATGCACAGTTACTGAACCATGATGCCTTAATGATCATTATACAAATCAACTTTTTTTGTTTGAAATAACGAAATTAAGAATGTGCTTTCATAATTACTTGAATCAGACTGTCAGGTTATAAATTTAATAAAAACCCAGTATGATTAAATTGCAAAAGTAATGTATACCACACAAAGCTGTATATGTGTGGATTCTTTTCATTCTGACTCATTCAGGTGCACTAATTAAATTTTAGTAAACAATATTGTTAGTATAGCTGTTTTACCACTAAAAAACAACAACCTGGGAACAGACACAGAGCATTTGGCAAACCTTTCTGTCTTCTGTTTGCATGTATTTTTCTAAAGCTCTCTTTTCAACATAACCTAACAAAAAAATGCGTAGGCCTATTATAAATAAGTATTAAGATTAAATAGTATTTAAAATAGTATTTAAGATTTTAAATACTGATGTTAGGTGTTTTGCCAATTACAATTCTAAAATTCCCCAGAGATATGATGTATCCGAGCAATTTGAATTCTAAGGTCTTCCTTAACTCCTCATTATAACCATAGTAACTTTTAAAGCATATATTTTGAATTTAACAGAATTTGGACCTATTCTGCAGATAATACATAGATCCTTAACGACAGAATGCATACACTTCTATACAGGAATAGAATTCAACATTTGAAGGACTCTTCTAGCCAAGTCCCCAAACTCATTCAAACCGATGTGCCAGATAGTCCCTTCTCTTTGGGAAAGCCAACAAGCCACCAGCAAAGTGAAGCTACAAGTACGCAAATCATCACTCACCTAAGCCGGAGCACAGTCTCACTAATCTCATTGTGACCTTCTCCTGCTCCTGTCACCCCTTCCTTGCCCTGTGCTATGACCTTTGCCACTCCGAGACCCTAGAGCCAGGTGGTTTGTTCAGCATCAGGTCCGTATGTGGTCCTCCATCAATCAGGTAACTCTCGCCAAAGACATTAACATAGCGCAAGGGAAGATGCTCCTTTTCTACCTCGGTGCTACCTAAATAGAAACTTCTGTAGCACATCATTTAATAGCTTTTCTGTACAAAGTGCTCTAGTCAGCAGAACATTATCTGCAGTCTACCAGCTCAGGCAAGCCCAGGCACCTTGCAGATGCTGGCTGCTTAGACGCCCAATCTAACATTGACCCAAATCAGGTCTTTAAAATAAAAAATATAAACAAAAAGGCCCTCCAGCAAACAACTATCTTTGTCCACTGGCAGAGCTGTTTTAGGTCACATACAGCTTTATACCAGAACTCCAGACTACAGTCAGGAGTTAAGCAAATTTTTATATCCAAAATAAGGTAAGAGCAGCAACGTTCATTTTTGCTGATTTAAAAAAAAAGAATTGTTAACCAACGCATCATTTTCTAATAAGTGTCCTCCAGAATTTTCACTATAACTGGAAGTCATTATGCCAGGATTTCCAGTTCTGAGCAGGAAACCCCAAATTAAAAAAAAACAAACCCACAACGGACTTCTCTCAAGAAAGCTTCTCTTACAGAACATGTTTGAGCAAGCCTCTTTTTTGTGCAAGGGAGACTTCTTTGCCCCCCCACAAAATATTCCTCTATAATGTTGACAAGCTCCAGTGCAGATCTTTTTACAATACAGGTATCTCCTTTAATATACGTGGCTTTGCTACATATTTAAATGTTATGAATTGGCTGACTAGTAGTCAACTGGTTAGAAAATACCCAACATATCCAGGTTACCGAAGAGGTTACTTCTGTAAAGCAGCTTTCCACTACAAACGGCACTTTGGCTAACTACAGACCTGAAAGCTTGCTTAACACATAAATTAACATTGCATTACTTGAACTGGGAAGAAAAATAACCTCTGAGAATACAGGCATACTCTCCACAATAAAAAGGAAAAGAGCTACACATTTGGCGTTTTTTTGTTTTCTATACTTGGTAGCAAAGTTTGTACAAGAACCTAAATTTTATACCAGTACTCTAAAAAACCTGCACCACATCCTACGGAAGTTTTTGTGCTTCACTTTTATTACCTGTGCCTTTTAAAGGAAGAACTGTCCTGCCTAGAAACTTTAAGACTACGCACTTCAATAAATATACTATCACAGAAATCAGATCAGATCAAAATTATATGGACCGACAGATAGGCTTCATACCTTAGTTTTGCGGAGAACTGCAATGGAAAGGGGAAGGTGGAGAAAACGGACAGTTCTCTAACCCCAAGTCTTGACAGGTAAATAAAGACATCTGAGGAGCACACAGGTTGGAAGCTGCGGTAACATTCTATCATAATTAGAAACATTTCAAGAGCCCTGTAATTTCCAATCAAAATTACAGTAATTTCCGATATACAAGCCATGATTCATGACAGAATTTTTACATTCCATGGGAGATTATAGTGGCCTGATGTATGACACACTGAGTACAGCACTAACATAAACAATTCAGTTTAATGTTTAAACAGCACTTGGTGTTTAGAATCCCACAATAAAAGAAACATATTATTGTAGAAATTATCACTTTGACAGTGATTGAAGGGTAGGCAGGCATGTGGCCTATAAAGCTCTAATTTTTACAGTCCACAGCTTGAGTTTAATCATTTTGATATAACATTTCCAAAATATCCCTTTAAATGCTCCTTACAGCATATAACTTAAGAGACAACATCCTTTCTGTACAATGAAATGGAGTAAACTCCAAAATGTGAACAACGCAGAAGTCAAAAGTTAAGGACTGTTAAAAAGAAAACCAGCACTAAAATGCTGACGGCCCAAGAAACGTTGGTCTAACAGATCATTATCAGCTTTCCCTGGAAGACGCTGTATTTTTCTGTGAAGCAATTTTAGAAAAGTAAAGGAATAGTGACTAAGTGAACTTAGCATTTAATCTACTGTGAAGATTCAACATTACAAGAATTGGTGCCTTTACCATTTCTTTCAAGCATTGGTACAACCATGGTTCTAGTCTTTCCCATTTTTCTATAAGTTTTTCCCTTACTTCTTGAGTACATTCTCACTTAAATCCATGCTTTTGCATACTCCGGTGATCTTTCTCAGAAGACATGTCACTTATGATAATCATACCTAACAAATGCTTGCTGATTTCCCTCTCCTGCCACTAAACTTGACAGAAATTCTTCAGTCGAAGAAAACAGAACAGGAAACCACACAACAAAGGCTTAAAACTTAATATGCAATATATATGTAAGCATACGCGCAGGTAACCAAGCAGCCATTGTATTCCACAAAGATTATACATGTTTTCTCAGATGTAACTTGTTTAACTGAATTTTGGGGGATTCTTTTTGGTTTTAACGTGGACACTGCTGCCCCACCTGCCATGCACAGCCTCACCAGCTGGTCTGCTGCACCCAAGCCCGTTCCCAACTAAATATTTTCGCAAAGAAATGAACCCCAGCACTCCTCGCTACAGCATGTATAATTGCAAAAGACCAAAACCTCGAGATGAATTTAGCAGCAGTACATATAGCTCGCACACAGCTTTTGCCATGTCCACGCCAGCTAGGAACTGATGAACCTGATGCTTTCTGAGCCGCGCAAGACCCACGGGTGCACGGCGAAGGCACCTCGCTGGTGGGAAAGAGGGAGGGATGCATCTCGGGAAGCTGCTTCTCAACCCTGCCCGGTCTAGGGTAACCAGGCATTACCTTTGGACTCAGCAAGGAGCTCTCAGTTGTGGTACCAGGCTGGTGAGCTAACCTGGCCACTCGTTGTAACTCACACAGAAACAGATCAAAAGCGGGGGAAAAGCACGCAGGACAGGGAGGCCATTGCGCCCCGGGAACTTTACCTGGCTCTTGGTTGCCGCAACCTTTGCAAACAGTTTATTTTCTGGTTTTCTGTTCCTCTCTGTAGCAATAGTAGCAGTTTTGACCTAGAAAATATATTTTATGAGACATTTTTCATTATGAAAAAGTTATTTTCCTCTTCTTCCCTCCCCAAGTAGTTCCCCTTTCCATTTTATTCCTTTTATTAAATCTTGCTCTGATATTCTTTCAGCTTTTCAGAGACTTGGCATTGTAAGTTATCCATGGTTTAGGCAACTGGGAAACAAGAAAATCTAGCACATTGTAACAAGTGAGTGCATCTGAAATATGAGTTATTGTTAACTGACCACTGTGAATTTCAATGTCATAACACAAATTAGGTGGAAACCTGTCAAACATTCTTGTAGAGACTTGTGAATCTTTACGTGATTTCTTTGCTCCATGTAAATTAAGTCAAAACTGTAACTGCAGCGTAAAAGAATCTCTAACGTAACAAAAAACTGACAGATATATCTTGATTCATGCCTTGTGTTCAGTACTCTCAAATGTATGATAATGTAGAAAAGTTGTGGCTTTAGATTTAACTTTCTAAAATACTATTACTTTAATTCTTAAGCTGTTTTTAAGAAAACAATACTTCAGAATAAGGCACATTTTAACCACTCGCTCATGCAATCAAGACAGGGCTTTCTTAACACTATTAATTCTAGTTGTATTTCACTTCTGTACATCAAATATTTATTCTTCTTGCAGCTCAGGTTAAAAAAAACACAACATATGAAAACAAGACAGAATGATTACACTACCACCTGTATGCTGCATCTGCAGCATTAAGGAAAACAACAAAAACCAGATCAGTTGTGCCATGGTGTGCAGAAGACTATCCTTTCCTCCATCCTCTGGAAATGATGGAAGTCAGGGTTCAACACCAAGAATCTTCTCACCAAGGTTACAGTGCAGTTTCTGCAATGTCAGTTGAGAGGTGCAAAAAATCAGCAGGTACTCAGCTTGTCCTACAATATTCTCAATAGTTGATGTTAACGCCTTTCTTCAGCAGCTACTCTGGCAATGCTTGCCCAAGATTAGTGGACCTAATGGACCACTACTCCTAAAGTGGACCAGAGGAAGGGAAAGACTGATTTCTGCCAAGAACCCACAAGGTATGATGCAAAATCAAACCTTTAGATTTCAACTCAAACCTACTGGTTAACGCTGACGTTGTTGAGAGCTCAATTAATTTAGCCATTCAGAAGTTACACGTCTAGCCTAAGTTAGTCATTCAGGCTACCTCTAAATCTAATGGACACAGCTTGGCACTTCCAGAGGGTGATTCAGCCTACTCTGAAGTATGTGTCTAAAACCACACTTTCACTATCAGTTTAACCCAGTGCAAGTCAGCACTTTCCTCCGCTCTAAAATCCCTCAAGGTTCAAAGGGAAATTATGACAACATGATAATTCACCTTCTAATCTCACTCTCTGTGAGCTTTCATATGTCACAGGTCTCATGATATGAGAGTCAAAGGGTTTGGGCAAGAGACATACTTAGGCAAATCATCAGCCCGTTTTTTCCTAGAAATGTCACGCTCAATTTGTGTTAACTATCCTCTCTAGTGCTTTTAAGATAAAATAATCTCGCCCAGCAACTGAGAGTGCATGCCACTTTTGCTAAGCCTGATTTGTCTGTCGGGCTTTTCAGGATCTGTGCTAACACATGCCCACTAGCTGCAAGGGGCGAAACCCCAGCAAGAACAAGGTGTCCACACATACTTCCGCCTGCCTCCTTCTGGCAGGCATTAGCACTTTCTGGTGTCCGGAAACAGGAGTCCTAAATGAAAAAGGAAAAGGAGACAAACCCCAGAATGTGGCATACAGTTTATCGGGTGATTTGCTTTCATTTGAAGACAACTGGTACTTCGCAGCTGAGACCCAGAGAGTGAGGCTTATCCTCTCCTGCAGTGTGACATTTCACAGGCGACACTGCAGTAGAGGATGGCCAAGCCTGGGCCAACGGCTGCTCAGAAACATTTGAGGCACCTGGCAGTGGGCAGTGTGAGGAGCAGCACCACAAATGTCCCTTCTTCCCATCACAGAGCAGGAAAACGCATGCCTCGCACTGGGCACATCAGCATGGGGCTGCAAGAGCAGGCGCATCTCCTGAGCGCCATACAGTGAAATCATTTGAAAATTACAAAGTCAGCAGCAATTTTGTAACCTTGAAATGGAAAGGACTCTCTAAAAGATAACTGACAATTAATGGGGTTGTTGAATATACAAATGGAGACAGCCTCTGCTTGTGTGTAAAAATCAGGCTAAGCTAAATTAGAAAATGAAAAAGTGACGGCTTTGGCAATACACCTTCTTGCACCTCGGGTTTAAATTTTGGCAAAGTTATTTCAGTCCTTCCCAAAGAAGTATTTCTAACTTGTAACTAATCTTTGAGGGTCCTGAGGGGAAGGCGAGAAGATGAAGGTTATTGAGCTAGCATACACAAGTCCATGCATCGTCTGGAAAGGAAGCAGTTTGCTCTTGTGATCCTGATCAAAATGTCTCTTGTCTGAAAGCACACCGCCTGTTTGATTGCTACTCAGCTTCAAAAGACAGCTTCACGTTGTAGCAGTACTTCACAGACCACTTAACTGAGCTGTGAACACCCAGATCATCAGAAACTAAGACTCACACACCACACTGCAGACATAATTTAAACTGCATCTTGGTCCACACTTTTCAATGCCCAGTTTAATACTGATATGCATTTAACCCAGGGGAATTACTGAACATCCTCATTCTGGTTGGCAAATTGCTTCCATCTTTATACAGGTACAACAAACTCAGCAGCATCTAGTATGTCACTGAAGTTAAAACAAAAAACTAAACAAACAAACTCCTTTTGCCTTCTGCTGAGATTGAATTAGGAACTGAACAGCAGAAAACACTAATATGGGCATCAAAAAGCCATATTAACCCAAAGAGCTCCAGGAGAATAAAAGTCTTAAAGTTATAATATGATGGGTTTGGGGATTATCAAGAGTTGTTGTTCACTGCCATGCCCTCTCCCTCTCCAATTTACATCATTGGCCAAGTATAAAAATTCTTCCCCCACCTCTTACTAATTTCTCTTCAAAGATCAGGTATAGACTGTGGCTGGACTAGATGGACCATTGATCTGCTCTGGTCTGATGAATTCCATGCAATAATGCTAATTAACCTCTTGGAGAATATCCATACATAAAACTGTTTCATAATTTATCCATAGCTAGCATCCAGGCTGTTGTGTTGAATTTAGAATTGAGTTCAAGACAGACGCTGTTTGAAGCCGGGTTGAAAAAACACCCTCCTCCTCTGAAAAACCCAACAGAAAACAAAAAAGCCCTCAATGGTGCAACTTCAGGACTTGCGAGAGGAGGTGGAAAAAGTATTCACTTTGGAGAGAAAACCAAAACAAAACATAATCTCTCATCTCATCCACACTTAAGCAAAACCTCCCACCCCGCCCACACTTACAGCCACATTTTCTGTTTAGGAAAGAAGCTACAGATCAGCTACATTTTCTTTTTTTTTTGACAGTAACTAAATTTTGCAAATACTAGTGAACAGGGGAGCATTCTTTTACAAATGTAACACACTGAGAATCAGAAATTTGTTTGGCCATCGTCCTACCACCAATCAATTTAGTCTTTTAAAAATACTTGAAAAAAAACCCCAACATGTCCACCCCCTTCTGGCCTGCCCAGATATATCTTATCAAATAAGACTGATTACAGTAGCAAGAAGTTCTGGATTAATTCAATTTGCTAAACAAAGGAGAGGTTGTTATAGAAAGAATAACCAATCTGAAGAGGTTTTCACAAACATGGAAACCCATTCCCTCCCCACTGAAACTGAAACAAAAAAATCTTTTATAACACATTCTTATAAGTACTGTTTTAGCTTGGGAACAAAAATCTTCTTTAATCCTGGTTTAGCTTTTAGTAATACATCGTACATTAAAATTCATAAAGTAGTTCATTCCAGGCAAAACAAACTACTTTTCAGTTCTGCTCTGCAAATAGCACAGGAGGTACAATAAATGCTGTTGCTTTCAGAACAGCTTTTATCAGGACAAGGTTTACTACTCCATTATTACAGTGGCGCCTGGAAGCGCAGTTATAGTTAAGTGTCAGGGTTTCTATTAACTCTTCTCCATGGTGGTTTTTGCAGGGGGGTGAGAGGGTTGCATTTATTATTTTCTTCATTTTTTACTTTCATTAAAATGCAGCTTGGCACAAACACTATCAACCTAAATCTCAAATTTTTCAGACTTACAAATAAAAATTTTGCTGCTGATGTATGGGGTGTGCATACGTTTGAACTCCAGGGCTCCACCATCAAATTTCATGGGAGCTGGTGTTATCCGGAGTTCCTTGCAATGGAGGTTCACTGGTCCTCAAACATCAGCAAAGCAGTGTCCTCCTCAAGACCAGTCTTTCAAGAGTGACATCCTATCTCTAGGACCCAAGCTGAAACTGCTTTAGCATGAAGAAACTGTAATTTATCTGTAGTCGGAGGAAGGCCAGGAAATCTGTCAACTGAGTACCCAGAACCACGACTCATGCAAGATTTGTGGCTACTTCTTAAAATGTTGCCTTGTAAAAATGATATGCTGCTCTTGACATTACACGTACTCTGTTTTTACACAGAATGATGATGGACCCCAAGAGTTACCACAAATTTTCTTTGGGGAATGAGAGGGGCAAGAAGGATTTCCTCCTCAGCTCTGCTGGAATGGAGATTATTTGCCTTGAGAAGCAAGTGTTCATAACTGCAGGATGGCTAACAAGCTTCAACCAGAATATTTTGGAAAAGAAAACCTGTGACTTGGTCACCTGTCTCCATCCTCCTCCCAAGATATACTATGGAGGAGGTAATCCACTTCTCCCCACACCCTGAACTGCGCCGATGAGAGGGAGAGGCCATGCCTAGCACCTCCCTGGGAACTCCATCCACCCTGAACATAGTTCCACTCTCAGCATCCTCTGAAGTATCCCCATATTATCTTGTTCCCACACAACGTGTAATAGACTCATCCTCTGAACCTGACTTAGGGATACCCAGAAAAGAACTCTGTGGGGCGATCTGCAAGATGAAGGTGTTGAAGAGGGAAAAAAAAAGTTAATAGAAGAAATAGAACAAGAAAGGATCTTTTTTAATTCGTTCTAGGTTGGAGAGGTTCAACTATGTCTCCATGCAGTACCTACCTGATGGAGATGCTAACATTTATAAGCTCTGCTGCCCCAGGAAAGAGCCTGACAGACAGGCTTCTGCCCCAGGAGACGGCAAGATGGACAACATCCAAGGGAAAAATTCCTGTGTATGCCGTCTCCCCACGCTCAGTCCGCCAGCGTGGAAGACAGTAGCAGACTTTTACAACTTGACCAGCTTAGAGGGCTATACGCATATTCCAAAAGCTCATACATTAGAAGCTAATGATTTCAATTAAAAAAAAAAAAGTAAGATTTTGCTTTTTTGTTTAAGTCAGAGAGAAAGGGAGAAGAAAGGGGGACAAAGAGCTTCTTAAAGGATTTCAAAAAAGAATTGGAAACAATCCAGATACATTAGCTCAAGTAGCAACTAGTAAGAATGCTGTAAAAATGAGATAAATTCAACACAGATCCTTCTAACTCAGGCACCAGGGTTTATGCTTGGTGAGTTCCTACCACCCTGTCAGACCTCCAAGGTCACGTGTTCTGGTTTTTGTATGCAACAGTATGCAAAATTCATACAGAACAAGCTCAGCTGCTAAATGGTTAAGTCCGCTCTACTGTCTGGCCACCAGTTGGCAACACAAAAATGCAAAATAGATCCTTTTCAGGATGTTTATTTTCACATCCTTCCGAAACTGATAACTTGCAATTGCAAAATAAACCTTCATGTGTGGCATATTAGCTCCTATTTTTCATGGTTTCATAGTTTAATTGTTTCAAATGTTACACTGGTCTAAAGATTTAATATTAAATATCTTGGCTCTTGTGTAAATTCTGTTGTCAGGATAAATGGTCTGTTTTGTCTTTCAATAGTTATCCAAGAAGCTCATAGCTAAGCTAGAAAAATATTATGCTGTATTCCTGTATAGTGAACTTTAAATAATTGCTTATAATAAATATAGTAGTAAGGACGCTAGTAGTTTTATTTCCTTAGTATCAAATATTCAATAAACTGTGGACATTTGGTGGGGTATCAGACCAGTAGTTGTTTGCATTAATAATTTTGCAGTATCCTGACTATAATTTATTTCTGCTATGATTTGTAAAGTTATACTTGCCAGTGCAACAAATAGAATAATTTCATTATTATTTCTAGCATTAAGTATTGTACTTACGTTGCCAACACAAACATTTCAATTTTTAAACTTAGGGCTCTGAACACTTGGTAGCACGTAGCAATTGCTACGCATGTTTATAGGTGGGTAATTCTGGCAACACATAAAAAGGTCGCACACAATCCCAACTCAGAGGTTTCTACATCCTTGGTCCATCCACTTGGTAAAGCGCATATGTTTCGCTGAATGACAGAGAACAATATAACAACTAGAAAAATAATTGTTTTTTCCTGTAGACCTCAAGTATTAGTCTATAAGGTTTCTTTGTTGACCTGTTTTCCTTTCAGAAAGGATCAAAACAAAACCGTATGCTGTTTCCACTTTGAACTGTCGCAATTAGGTTAGCTATACTCCTGACTCCCACTAAAAAAATGAAATGTAATTATAAACTAGAGCAGAGTAGAGACAGATTTATCCTCCCCCCTGCCCCCGACCCCTAAATTTGGACTTACAGTATGTTTTGTCAGCTAAGAAAACCCCTAAGTCTCACTTTCTTTCTGGCTGCAAGGGATTTATGCAGTTTAAAGTGCGAATTTAAACCAACACAAGGACTACCTCTGACTTGACATCCTTCTGGAAGGTCCTGTAATTAACTCTGTTCTTTAGCTGTGAAATTGCCCAAGACCACTTGAGACAGAGTGAGACATTACCTTGGCAAAAACAGATAAGTTAAGAAGGAGAGTTAGCCTTTGCTCTGAATTACTTCAGCTGTGGGAACAGGTACAGATATTAAAACAACTTAAATGTTATTTTAAACACAGTTACCTATATTTAACTATTTCCCACTAAAGCATTACTGTGTAAATAGATTCTCATCCTTTATCTTGAAGAGTACCTGTAGTGGATTTCACAGACTAAACTCAATGATAACCAAACTAGACCGTTAGCACAGTTTGTTCTTTCTCTTAAGAAATTTTTCTCTTCTTGTGAAAAGTACTGCAGAAGGTCACAGTGATCTTCTGTCCTCCCTTTTCCTACCATTTTGTTATTCGTTTCTTTAATGTGGTCCTTAGTATCCATTAGATGCAGGAAAACTAGAAAAAATAATCTCGAGGAACTTATAGCATTCAGAATGGGCACAGAATATAGTCATAAGCACAAGCCTAAGTCTGGTTAGTGAAAAACTGCTATGTTTATATACTCATCCATCACAAAATTCCCACAATCCCAAAGCCTTGCAAATCTAGACTGCATATACAACATGATTCCCACATAACTGCACATCAGTTTCTTTTGTCCTTGCATAGGTACAACCTCGAGCCACAGCAATGCAGGGTATTTCAGAAAAAAATAGGGTTTTTGAGTGTTTAATTCACAACCATGATGCTTCTTTGTGGAAATCCCATGCACTTCTATGGCTCACACCTGTATATTTCATGTACCCTAAAATCAGCATCAGCGTTTCCTTGATAGGCACAAGGACTATACCACTGAATTTCTCGATCCCACTTCATAACTTCGTAATTTTGAAAGAACTAAACCAATAGTCCCACTAGATTTTACAGAAATCAATAGGAGTTTCATTTGAACAAATACTAAATGAATCTTAAATGAACATATCCAAATTTTTCAGAGCAATGGATATAGTAAGTCTGTTACGTTATCCTGTTGTCAGTAGCTTGACCTGTAGAAAGTGTGCCCAGCATTTTGGGATGGAGTCCTCTTTCTCCCATCCCTTTCCTTTTACTTGTTTGTTTTCTGGAAGACAATTTTTTTAGGCAATACAACGCACTCATACTTCTGCTTCCATTCCCACTCAGTTTAGTGGTCCAAATCTTTCAAAATCTCTATTTGAATCTCTAACATTAAAAACCCCACCTGAGAAATACAGGAGAAAAAGACAGCTAAAAGACAGCATCTTCCCCAGTAAAGCTTGTATCTCAAAAAAATGACTAAAAAAACTCTGTAGGGGCCATAATGGATAGAATTTATCTTAAAACTAGAAAATAGGTAGTAATAAACTGCTACTATCATCCATCATATTTCTTAAATTTAATTTGTAATACAGACTGCAAATAATGATTCTACGAGAGTTTAAAACATGCAACAGTAAAAGTTTTCTTCTTTTTAAGACAGGCATCGCCCAGCAGGACAGGGAGGAAACACAACAAGCACATCTCAAAGACAGCGAGAGCGGTTTACTTGTGGAGGCCGGCTAGGCGGTGTGCTTATGAGAGGCGCGGGGCCCATGGCAGAGGCTGCATTCAAGCTCCTTTCCCTTTCGTCCTGGTAAATTCGATCTCGTTCGGCTTCTGGCAGTTGCAAGAAGTTCTGCATAGCCCGAAGGTTTACCAGTAAGGACTGCGAGGCAGTCTTGGGATCCTCTTCCTTTCTGAGGATTTCTGAGAGCAAGCCCTGTAGGGAGGGAAGAAAAAAATACCCTGGAGAGTTAGCTTAGGTGAGCACCTGTAAAACCATGCCACCGCATACCAGTCCTCGTTCTTCCTTCCACTGGGCTGAGAACGAGAGCAGCAAATGCACTATTCACTCAACACAGGAATATATTAATGGCAATTTAGGTAGCAGAAAAGAGAGCCTCAATTGTACCCTTAATTTTATTAAGCATCTGTTTTACACACCACATAAACTGAATCTGCCTAATAAGTCTCTTTCCTTTTACTGGCTTAACTTGCCATGAAATTCTTTCACAGTCGACAGACAATCACAAGATGTTAAGAATAAGTGAAATACAGACAGTCCAGAGGAATGACACTGGGGTGTTCTCAGGCTTCCCAGACAAAATGTGTAGCCAACCTAAAAAAATGGTTTTCCACATTTCTAGCAACATAAACAGCTCTTTGAAAGGAAGTGATATTTCACAACTAATCTGAGACAATAAACTCCCAACGTTGCTAAAACACTGCTTAACTGACTAAGGTCCGTCATTTTATAAGTCAATATTTTCTTTTGAGATTTGTATATTGGAGTTTAACAACAAGCTAGGAAACTCTCTGTTGGATGGTTCCCCTCCTTCACTCCCTCTCTCCTCACCAGGACAACCCTAATCCTCACTCAGTCCATACTTCAAGAAAAATGAGCAACTACTGGAGAGAGTCCAGCGGAGGGCTACAAGGATGGTGAGGGGACTGGAGCATCTCTCCTATGAGGAGAGGTTGAGGGAACTGGGCTTGTTCAGCCTGAAGAAGAGAAGGCTGCGAGGGGACCTTATAAATATCTCAAAGGTGGGTGTCAGGAGGATGGGGCCAGACTCTTTTCAGTATGCCCAGCGACAGGACAAGGGGCAATGGGCACAAGCTGAGGCACAGGAAGTTCCGTCTGAACATGAGGAAGAACTTCTTCCCTCTGAGGGTGACGGAGCACTGGAACAGGCTGCCCAGGGAGGCTGTGGAGTCTCCTTCTCTGGAGATATTCAGAACCCGCCTGGACAAGGTCCTGTGCAGCCTGCTGTAGGTGACCCTGCTTCGGCAGAGGGGATGGACTGGATGACCCACAGAGGTCCCTTCCAGCCCCGAACATTCTGTGATTCTGTGATTGCCTGGGCTATCTGAGCACCTGCCATGCTGGTCCCATTTCCTAAGTCCATTTACCATTCCTGTCCTTTGACCACTTTCAGAGTCCAGCAACGACAGAGAAAAGTGAGCACAGGGGCATGAAAGGAAAACAGCACCCAGGGCATCAGTAGCAGCGAGCCAGAGATGGGCAGGCTGCAGCCGATAGCATGCCGCCAGCTGCTTGTACAGACCACACCAGGTTTCCTACGTAATCATTTCATCTCGGTTCTCACAGTGGAGCAGGCCTGGCAGTCTGGGACACCTAATTACTCTAAAAGATGAAATATATATGAACCTGTGAGCGCAACTAGAACTTTAATGTCAACAGGTTCTTGAAATCTCCCCCCCTTGCCAAATTCTCCTTTTAAGTATGTCAGGCATACAAAACACTCTACTGTCTTGAAGTAAAAAGGCAGTGATAAGAAAACTAACTTTTGCAAAACCAAACATGAACTTCTTTTTAGAATGAATGCTGTTGCCATGCTGGGATAAGAAGAGCGTTGACATGACAGGCTTTTATTGCTAGTGTAACAAGGGAGCATCAATGTGATTTTAAAGAAATAACACAACCCAATGTTTCTTTTCCTAAAAAACTGTTGTAAGTTATTTGGGATAATGGCTAGGGGCAATAAAAGAGCTAAAACTGAGAGTGGCAATCCTGACTGAAGATATCCCTTCCTAAGGGAGTGGTACAGAAAGCTGCAGCTCTGAGCTCTGCATTTGCCCCATCGCCTCTCCATCTCTCAGGGCGATGAGGGCAGAGGTGCTAACCACTACCCTGGGGCCACAGTGGTCCCCATGGCCCTGCCTGTGCCTGCACATGTAAGAGGGAAATGGGACAGAAAACACAAACAGTCTTTCCAGGACTAAGCATGAAAAATAACTTGTAAGAGGATTAAAAAACAAAAGTAATCCTGGGAGATACTTTCTTACCACTTATTCTTCATCCCTCCTCTTTCCTGGTATCCAGGTAGAAACTACTCAGAAGGTAAATAAACGAGTTACAGACATAAGTGGCATTTGGGTAGAGTATAAGTTTCAAAATTTTTCTTAATGATTAGTCTAACAATAAATTTACTTATTAGCAAATATGGAAATTAAATTCTTGTCTACCATTTTTTTCTACTTCTAAGTACTCAAACCCGCAGTTATTATTGTTTGTCAGTGGTAGGCTTACATGACCCATCCTCCAAGGCAGGCACAAATGATTTTGTGCCACTGGAGCATAATGCAAAGCTGTCTGCAGAGCACAGGATGTATGATCAAGGTGTGAAAACATGTGATTTCTGACTGCTACGGTGCTGAAAACAACCGCACCAGGATTAAAAAGAAGAAACACACACTGAAGTGGACTGATCACTGGCAGGAGAGGAGACTCCGTACTAACAGCCAGCCCACTGTCAGCCACAGGAAATGTCCTTGAAAAACACTTTAGCCCGTAATAGAAAATATTGCTCATATAAGCCTTTGCCACATAGTGGGCAACTAAAAAAAGGCAGAAGAGGTTGTTTTTCTTGTACAGCTTTTTCCCCCTTAGTGAAATGAGTAAACAATGAAAATTGTTTTTTTGTATTTTTCCTGTGTTTGTCAGTATAACCATTGCTGCAGGACACCTCTTGGTGATTAGAAATGCCATTAAGTATTCATTCCCCTCTCCTTCTCCCAGCACTGCCATGACTCTTTGCATGAGCTGGGAACAGAGCAGAGGATACAGATGTGAAGAGAGCAGGGGAGATGAGACTGGGGAGAAGACAAGGAGGCGGTGTTTACTTCTAGGAGCTTTGAACCTGAGGGTCAGAATATACAATATATAAGGAAAAAACATGGAAAAAAACAGTGTGGTACCAGATGCAGGCAAAGTCTTGTAATACAGTTTGCCTGCTTCAAATATGAAGCTCTATTGCTACTGCTTCAATTTTCTAAGCATTGAACTTCAGCTAAACATTGTTGGACAAGATGTAAAATGGGAAAACCCTAGAAAGAAAAGATCAGCTCTCACATCCTGCCCCATGCTGACGTGCAGAGATTTACTGTTCATTTTACCAGGCTTGAACTGGTTTGCCAAGATACAAGTCTTGGTGTGACTCCCTGATATTGTACCTCAGGTTGCATAAAGCTAAATGCTGTTTTGCACAGATTATAAACGATGCCAGGCTCAGAGTCCTCCTCTCTGTTCCTCCTTTGTATCCTTTTTGCACTGGAAATGTACTTTCTTAAAATGTTACCAGGTCTCATTGAAAAAAAGAAAGTTTACACGTCATCACAAGTATAATTCATTACTAATTGCACAAAAATGTTCAATAAATATTATCAGGGCTTTCAAAAGCTAATTATGAATTTTTTAAAACTGGAGATAAACTCAAGTGTCTGCCAATATGAACAAAAACACTGTCTGTCTGGCCCCCAGTTTGTCTCCTCTTTGAACATAATCACTGATTCGAATAGATTTTATCAGCCTGATAGAACTTCAAAGCTCCTAGAAGAAAAATGCAATTTGCCCAAACCTCCCCAAAACACACAGAACACCCTCGAATCCTATCCCTCTCCGTTGCAGGGTGCTCCCATCCCATGTCCAGGTGGAGGATTATTCACAAGCTCCACCCACAAGCCTGGATCACTGCCAAGTAAGTTATAAGCAGACACATTTATCTACGTCGCTTAGTAGCAAGAGGAGAGCTGTCATGATAGTGTAATAGCACCTTTTTACCTTTTATTCAATAGTGATATGGATAGTGTGCTTTTTCTTAAATTACACTACGAAGAATTATATGAATACAGTGGCAATTTCTGTTATACTTAAGCAGGCAAATTTCTCTCTACCACATAATTTACAGAACTCAAATTCAATAAAACATTACATGATGGTCCATTACTGTTATCAATTTTGAATAATCCATCTTCATTTTTCATTTTACTGGAAAATAAAGTGTGCCAAAGACAAAGTGGAAGAAAAAAAAAACATGCCTGAGAAGGTGGTTTGTGTAAACTTAGATTTTGTTTTAAAATTACATGGAGCCGTTTACTGCATCCAAGCATTCTCCCTCGAAATAGCAATTGCCCAGAATTAGCATGAGCACAGCCGTAAATACACAGAAGTTTTCACATATGAGAAAGGGCGCTATACATGAACGAAAGGCAATGTATCCTGGCAGCTAATATTTTAAACAAGCATGGGGGTGAAGCAGAAAGGAGGTGGAGAGAAAAGGTATCTGGCAGAAACACTGAGAAGTGCTCAAAAAACCTTGAGATGAAAAACTGTCACTGGTGGGAAGAAGAAAAATTGACAATAGTCAGACATGGCAAAAGCAGCAAAAAGCACTCCCCCTGCTTTTGCGAACATGGAGCCAAGAGGTCACCTCCGTACAGCAGCGCCCGAGTTCATGCAGCAAATGTTATGGCTGAAAGTGTACACAAGCAGCGACAGGCAGCCCCGAGTTACAGTTCCAACCACAACCATGACTAACACGATTCCTTGCTCGCGCAGTACGTACATGTCACCCCGCCACGCACCAGGTTAAGCTACGCCTTCCAGTCAAATGTCAGACTCACTTGTGGGAACCCAAGCTTTCCGTTTCCTGACTCATATTTACATTTACAAACGCCAGGCAGAAATGGTAAGAGGAGTTTGTTTATTTGTTTAGGGCTCCAAAGGTGGTTCAGCGGAACAAATGCCGACGCTCTGCTGTAGCTCTCTCTCGAAGAACAGAGCAGAGCGGAGGGCCTCCCAGTTCAACTGCGGATTTGCAGGGGCAGGCTGAGCCTCTCTGTGCTGGGAGACTGTGGTGGGGGCTGGCGGAGGGCACCACGCTTTGGGGGGCTGCCCTGATGCATCGGCAATGTCCCCTCACCACCGCTCCATGCCACCCAGGCCAGCGAGCTGCTCAGAAATGCCATTTTCTGGCCAAGAAAGCGCAGGAAAAAAATGAACTTGCTCTTTCAAGAGAGCAGAGGTGTCTGCACAGCACACTGACATCAGCTGGAAAATATATTCCATTTATTAATTCGTTAAAACGGCAACTGAAACACTACCGAAATTACCCTAGTGAACAGAGAGACCGGTAGACACATTTGGTAGCCGTGCTTGAGGCAAAACTCGGATCTGCTATCACAAATCCTGACTCAACATACTTTTCCACGGTGCGCTGCGAAGAGGGGCTAACAGGATTCAATCTGTTTCTTCGCAGCCAGTGAGCTGGAATCGCAACTGCTGAGCAACAAACGACGCTTCAGACCCCACTGGGCTCTGAAGCCTTCCTAGAAGGACTACAGTGAAATCTCTTGCGGGGAGAGTGCTTCACCCTCCGAAACCACTTCTGCTCCCCACAACAATTGTTCTGTTGTGCCTGCATAGACGTTAATTTTCATTCAAGTCATAGCTATCTGGACTTCTCTTTGATTACACTTTGCAAGACACATTGCTGAGAACTACACATTTTTGAAACTACTATTTTGAAGTTAAGAGTAGGGGAGAAGTTATGCAAGAAGATATTAAGAACACCCTTTCAATTTTCTGAGGTGTGGCGGAGGGTTTTTCTCTGCCTTATAAATAGACAATAATTTTAAAAAAAGATAACCTAGTTCTTAGAAGTAATTTTACCAAATTCTTTCTTTTGGGCTGGGAGGAAGCTGAAATATTTCTAGTCAACATTTTTTCCCAAAATATAAAATTCCTGGAAATTAGAGCCAAGTGTTGAATTACCACATTAAGCTGGTAGAACTCCCTCTTCCCACCCAAAAACCTCCACTAAATTCTGTATTCATATTGCAGAGCACTAGTCTATAAAACAAGAGTATCTTCAGCTAGTTCCACCAAAGTCCATTCTTATTGCCAAAACATTAAGCTAAATTACTCTTAGTTTATAGTTCACTTCCTTCGTTAACTTTTACGCTGAGAGCTTATCTCTCCCCTCATCTGAGACCAAATCTCGACATCAGGGGTCTTTTGTGCAGAACTCCCAACTGATTTCAGTGAGATCTGCTGCCTTCAGATATTGATGGCATGATATGGTCCCTGGACACGGCTCAAACATGCCTATGACAGTTTCAAAAATGTCAGTGGCAAGCCTGAGTTAGCTTTTTATCTCTGAAAACAGTAGATTAATTTAAACAAGCATTTTCACTTGCTCTAGCCAAAAAAAAAAAAAAAGACAAAAGATATTACATCAATATTAGAAAATAACTTCTAAGTAGCATCAGTCATTTAAGTGCTGCCCTAATTTTAGTTAAATGTGATGTATCCTTGAAGAACCCGAGATAAACACCAAAGTACAGCAAGCAAAACAAATTTAAGTGCTTTCATACAAGAATCACAGGTATCTCTGCATGTATTTATACTTGGACATTAGCTGTTACTGTGGGTACAATTAACAATTTTCAGTTTTGCAAAGGTGAAATGTGCCCACAACAAACTCCTCTGGATTTCAATGGGGCTTCACTTCATATTAAAAGTATGCTGAGATATTTCTTGGTGACACTGAGGCTAACATCGCCTAGGCTCCTAGTATCTTTCCTTTCTGTTCGCTACATAACAAATGCTGCAAAATCTTATGTAGCTAACTGCAAATACTAATTTGATTCACTAACACAACTTGTAGGATATAGGGATACAACTCTGTGTTCAATCAAGTAGATCTGGTTGCAAATTGCCAGAATATATTACATACATATTTCCTATCTCTTCACGTGATTTGTTTTCAACACTCATTTTGGGGTTTCCTCCCAGTTTTGGGTCACTTTGAACACATTTTACCAAGCTGGTTAACCACAACGTCTGTGGAAGAATTGAACTTTAAACAAGTATTTAATAACATTTGTAGTAAGAAAAATTTATAGTAATCAGGAATCTATTTTTGCACTAGAAATCTAGTTCTACCGTTGCATTCATCACATCTCAAGAGCATCTTCTCATACTGTGTCATATAAATTCAACATCCAGTCAGAACCAATCGTCCTTGTACTTCAGGTAACAAATACTGCCCTTGAACAAATGACAGACCAAAAGCTGTATGGAAAACTAGCTGACAAAAGCTGAACAAACAACTTCAGAGGCGGAAGAAAGCTGAGAGAAAACAAGCTGCTTTTAGGCAAGTCTGACAAATAAGTAAATATCTAATAAACTATTTCTTTTCTGAAATATTTGCTTAGCTTTTTGTCCAGGTAAGATGAAAGCTACAAATCATGGTAACTTGAGGCTACTGTTAATATTTCAATACTTTACAGTATCATAGTTAAAATATTAAAGGAAACTCTATCTCACTTATTTGTAAATATAACAGCTGACACTGCCTGAACCCAACTGACATAAGTAATCCTTGAATAAGTTCATGTATCCCATGAAATTTGGTCTGAAAGACCCAGATCTTGAAAACCTCCTCTGCTGCTAAGAGGAAAGACACATTCACAGAGAGTTCGCAGAGAATTCACACAATGATTCTACTTTCTTCTAGCTTAAGGCAATAATAATTCAGAACAATTAGAAATGACATATGGATTCAAACTTGGTACCTGTGCATTTGAAACAGAATTTTTATTCTCTAAGCTATGCAGGGAGAAACATCAACATTTCAAGAGAAGCTCACATTGTTATTTTTTTACTATATTCTACAACAGACAAATACTTGTTCGTTAAGTTTAAAAATGTGGAATCCAAAGCAAATTTATCTACATCTTTTAAAAATACACCCTATTAAAAAAAAACCACAACTATTTTTTTTTCTGTTAAAACAGACTTCTAAAATTTTGAGATCTTATTATTTGCATTAGATATACTGACATTTCTTCCATAATTTCTGCTTGATTAAATTCCATGCAACATGGTATTAAGTTAAATTCATAGAGCAGAATAAATTATAACAGGGTTAGCTTCTAAAACAGGTGTAAAAAATAACACATTTTAGTGTTACTTATCAGCTTTGCTAAGGCTAGTTTTTTCTGCAATGCAGAGCTGAAGTATATGTTCTGACGTGGACATTGGCAATCTCAGCAGCTACTGTTTTTGCACCAAACTATAGAAACACACGAAAAGAGTAGATAATCTAAAAATATTTTTTTTGTTTTAATCTTTTCAGAAGCCTGAAAAGATGTTATTATTAAGACTTACAATAGAAAATAATAAAAATAAATGCAAAAAGACCATCCTCAGGTACACCTGTGAAAGAAGACAGGTTGTTCAGTGCATGCACGTGGTCAGTATGGGTATACCTGTGCAACACAAAAGGCAATCTGTTGGGTGACTTTGTGAATGGTTCAGCACAGAGCTGTTCATGTCCTTTCCCAGGAAGTTTAAGTTATTCATAAGCCATCATAACTGGAGAGAAACCAAGGTGTATGTCAGAACAGTGGGTACTGCCACAAAGCAATCATTGAAGATTTCTGTACTGTATCAACATGGACGCCGGTCCTGCAAGGAAGCGTGGTTCCTTCATAGGAGTTGAGCGACAAGGCAGAAATGGGGACTTTTAAAAGGTGACAAGTACTAAACAGAGAGAAAGGAGGGACTCTTAGACTGAAAAAAAAAAGAAGAAAAAAAGAAGACTGACCTGAGTTCGGTTAAAAGCCACACGTGCAAATACTGCCTGTGAGATTCCTGCTCGTTTCAGTTCATCACGGACCCACTGGTAGATTTCGGAAGACACCTCTGTGTTTGTTGAGACCTGCTGCTCCAACGGCTTGTTCATGGATCTACTGACAGGAGGAGGGTGGTTCAAGTACTGTTGGTTTAAGGACTGCTGGGCTAGAAGTCTGTTCACTGCATACTGCTGGTTCAGCAACTGGGCCATTACCAGCTGCTGATTAACCAGCTGAGGGCTAATGGGAGTAGATACAAGTCCAGGGTGCAGGTTTGGAAGCGGGGTCCGAACTGATGGTTGACTACCATGAGAAAGCTGAACAGGGGACGGAGGCTGTTCGGCTGTGTTCCCTGGGACTGGCTGCTGACCAAAGTTGACATGGTTGGCACCTTGCTGGGATAGTTCAGAAAGGCTATCCATCTCAACTACGGTGGAAAAGAAACATTGAAAAAGCCAACATAAGACTGAAAATCACGAACTTCACGCTCCTCACTAAAATGTTTTGTTTCGTGCTAACAAAAATAAATATAAAACAGCACATTCGGGTTCAAGCTTACTGTACTCTCCAGCCTAGATCAGCAGGCTCATAACATCACTGTTGCGGCTATTTGCCTTCAAAATTTACCCACAAATAATGGCGTAGTGAATACTGTTTTTTAAAAACATCCAACAAACTGCCCACCATCATCACTGGGCCCTTGGAGGAACCAGCAGAAGAACATCAGAGGCAAAACCATGTGCTGAAACCACATATGGCAAAGCAGTAACTTCCTGAGAGCTTCGCAAAGTCGCAACGCAACCAAACCACAAGCATGCGGCTGCAGAGCGCATCCCCACAGCGATGGATGCGAGGGACTGCAGACAAGGCAGCAAGTAACTGGAGAGAGGGCAAAGACAAGAGATGGGAAACCACTCTGTGCACTGCAGAAGATGCGGGTGAAATGGCAAGTGCATCCACACAACGGCTAAGGAGGGCTTGTATGGGAAGGCACACCCTGACCAGAGAGAGAGAAGCCCCCGGTGACCGGTTTTGCTCCTCCTGTGGTGTCCCTGCTGTGACATCTGCAGTTCCCAGGCACTGGAAATCTGTAACAAGCAGGGTGGGGTGTGGACCTCCCCATGCTCTGCTAATTTCTAGATGTTGCACCAATTGTATGGGACTGCTAGGAACTAGTATAATTTATGTAAATTACACAGATGGGCTGCTTTATCTTGCAACCATGTATGCATGGTTTTTTTCAGTGACTTGCAACATGGTTGATTTTTTTTCTTATATTAACTCATCTGCCTTGACACACCCTCCTTTTTAATTAACAACACAGTTTTTTACACTACAAGAGTGCTTCCAGCTCCCCTCTTGTGCATGATAAGACAATATAAAATATATCTAGGCTGATGTAAAGGAGTCTCCTTTTTATCAATGTATGCCACTTTTTCATTTTAAGCAATCTCAGTTCTAGAGCTTTAGGAACGCTGGTCTGGAAATAGCTTTGAGAAAATATGCTTTATTTAAAAACCAAAACTCCAGTATCTTCACAAAAGTGTCGAAGCAATTTTTTTCTTACACTAGTAAAACATAATATTTTTTTTAAAAAAGGCAGTGTCTGATCTTTTCATAGTAATTATGATCTTCACTAACAGGCATTCAGTGCAAGACCACCCTTTCCTACAGAGGGACGAGAGCTGGAAGAAGCAATCAGCACCTGGATTTCCATTCGCAGCCCTGCCTTCCCCCTCTGTCCTATCATAGGCAGAAATTTAAAAAAAAAAAGCAAAGAAAGAGGGCTGTTCTGCAGAGAGGTCTGGTGCCCATAGCTTGGATCAACGCCCCAGCAGAGCACTCGCTGCTCCTCGTCCATGTGGCATGGCCTGTCCCCCCAGCATTAGGAAAACATGCACACAGACACGTGTGTGTCCTGGGCACTGGCTTCACTGTCCCCAAATTAATGGATGGCGAACCTGCCTTTGCAGGTCACGTAACGCAAATTTTGCAGGGGTTGCCCCATGCAGGAGCAGCAATGGAGGTGGGAGAGGAGGCTGTGGAAAAGTCACCCCCCCCATGAAGGAGCTCTGCTGCCTTGCCCACAGACCACCCGAAGCCAAGTGAATTCTCACCACTGACTTCGGTGGTCTGGGAAGAAGGGTTCGATGTTGCACAGAAGGTACAAAGTAGATAAAGGAAAGAAGCTGCCTTTTTTCACTAGCGGAAAGTAGAGATCAACCCAAGTGGGCCATTCACTTGGAATAGTAATTCAAGCAATTATCACAAAAGTGATGCATTGTCTTCATTACAGCCTTAAGCTATCACAGGCAAGGAACCCGTTTTGGTAGATGAATGATTTTGCTTCAAATACTGAAAGCTAAGTCAAGCTCAAAATTCAATCCAAATTGAGGTCTCATTTCTTCATTCAGTAAAAACTACGTAAAAATTTTCTGACACGAAGTGTTCAAAATTATGTTAACAGGTTTAAGAAATAGTTTTAAAAAGGGACAATACAGAAAGATGAAAGGTATTACAGAATTAGTATGTCCCACTGACGGATTCTTTTCTCCAGTAATTTACTCATGCTTACTACACGCAGAAAATTGTCACAACTATTTATTATAATGAATTGAAATCAAGAGTCCCAAAGTTAGAGAAAGATATGAATTTATAAAATTATAGCATTCTTGTTGGAAGGCAGTGAAAGTTATAGAAGCCTGTTTCTTTAAATATACATTAGTCAGAGCAATAAAAAAAAATACACACATTAAAAAAAATCAGTCCATCACAGTTCCAGAAACAGGTTTTTTAAACAATTATTCTGGGCAGTAGAAGATCTCTAGATTTACAGAATGACAGCTTTACATCTTTGGCAACCCAAGTCAGTTTGGCTGTTTCAATAGCAAATATTTATTTAAATGAATTCTTTCACTATATATGTACTTTCTATATCTACTCATCAAAAGCATCCTAAACTTATCGTGAAAGGACCTGGCTTCTCATATGACTGTGACAGACCTCAATGTGACACATAATGGTATGTATCCACCATCATAGCAAATTTCTGGGGTTTTTTTTGCTTACCCATCATATCTTTTGCCTTCTTGAAATGTTTATACCACCTTCCAAATTCCTGACATTTTGCTGCTGAGACATTTGCATAGTAAGTGCTGTTCACAATGGAAGAAATCATACTCTGTGTGAAAAGGGGAGAAGAAAAAAAAATCTGTAATACAGAGCAGTACAAGTCACAGCACAAATTATTTCAATTGTTGAAACCATTATATTTTTAGAATTTGAGAACCATATTGCATTTTTAATCCTATCATCCAAAGCCTTTTAAAAAACTCATTAATTGAGTATAAAAACAAACCAAGGTATATTGTAAATGGGAGAAAAAAAGCAGATGTACTAAGGGAAGAACAAAAGTTATCGACCAAGAAACATCAGGCAATGGGATGGGCTCTGGACAGATGATGCTAATCTTGAAAGTGCATTTCCTTTGTACTATTTCTGTTTTAAAATTTGATTGACCCTTCACGTGCCCACACAAGGTTACAGGCATACAAATCCTGCACTGACTCCAAAAATGCAAGCAATGCCCCAAGTTATCCTTGCCCAATCCCTTTATGCCACTTATCACAGGGCAGACCCCAGAAAATCGAAGGATGAAAGTTTATCTGAATGACCCATTAGTAGGATAAAATAAGGGGGGTTACAGCAGAATAAAATATGTATGCAACAAGCCAAAATGAGCCCAGAGATGCTTTTCCTAAAGAGGGTATTATAAGTGATTTGCAAATACAGGCTTATGAAAAGCTCTTATTGTCATGTCTAATTTTGTATCTGAATATCAGCTGTAAAATAGACCAAAAGATGATAGAGACAATTTTTTCTCAAAGGTTCTCGAGATATCAGATAGCTACAGTGAGAAATTTACCTTCTGCTCAGTTTTGACCAATTTTAAAACAGTGGAATTTACAATGCATAAAACTTTCAGTTCCAGTACATTCTTTTACAAAATCAATTAAGACTAAGCCTTGCAAAATGAGATAATGCTCCAACTTGAAAATTATACTCAGCATATGATGTACGAACAACAAAATTAGCAAATGTAATTTCAACAGACTGAACTTTGCCACTCTTGGATTTCTATGTGGAAAGTAGTTACTTTTAGCTTAACTACAGCAATTGTCCAGCATATTGAGAAAACAATGACAGTCGAGAAGACAAAGCTGTGATTATTACGTTTCTTCACTATTCAGCATGTAACATTTAGCTATATTTGTGCTGTCGTAAAATCGATGTACAGCATCAACCCTTTGTTACACAAACTGCAATAACCACTAGAAGAAATTTTGGAGTAAAAATGCAATAGATATTACTATAAGTCTTCTTTTATAAGGCTAGTTCAGCTTCTTAGTGAAAGTATCTTGATTATTGATCTTAGTGAAGTTCATTATAACCATTTGCTAATGTATTACTCAGTAACATGGTATTTGTGGAGGCTCAGAACTGCTAGTGAGGCGGTATTATTTACGCCAAACATGGACAGCCTCTACTCACCAGGCAGCTATTTTAATATTTCTCTGAATCACCAAAATTCTTACCATTCCTTGATATTAATCTGGCATTTCTGAAATTAGATAGAAGCCTTTTGTCAGTGGTATAAAAATAGACTACTGCAGCTCTAGCCTGAATGACCTGAACCAAGTTCAGCTTAACCTAATTTCAATTTCCAATATAATAACAGTACCATTAATGTCTAATACTCACAAAATTATTGTTTAAGCTCTTTTACAGACTAAACCATTTAAAAATGGGCACATGATATGTAAGGCATGATTTAAAAAGTCCTTTGGATCTGGACTGGTGAATTATATGAACGCACAGTTACTGCACATGCAAAACCTGCAGATCTGCCTGTGCAAAGTGGGGAACTGCACGTATAATGGGCCACCATCCCATATTAACTTGTGCGTATTTTGTGGATGTCATTTAGACTTCAAGGTGGTTTTCTCTCATTTTACTTTGCCCCTTTCAGATGTCTTCTGCTGCCCAACAGTAAGTATGAAAACATGTAAATTAATAATAATTTTAGTAAATTACCTACTATTGATGAAGATGTTTGTCTAGGATTTCCTAGTCCTCATTTCCATGTCATATCAAAGAAGATATGCCAATGACATGGCAGTTTGTGACATCCTCTGGTTCTTCAGGAATAAATTTAATGCAGTTGCACTATTTTACAACCAAATAGGGGACCGATCTGTTTAAATAACACTGCTAGGTATTTTAGCTTCTTTGACACAATGTGAAGTTCAGGATCTGATGGCTAATATTGGGATTTTTCTCCAGTTCTTCAAAGTAGATTAAAAAAAAACCCACAGACATTATCAACAGATTTTAAAATGAAAATTATCCTGCTTTTTCTTCGAGAACACTTCATGCAAACATTCAAGTGATATTACCTACGCTAAGAATCCTCATCAGGAGGAATCAATGATTTATTTACTAATTCACTGAAGGCAAAATTTTACAAGCCAGATAAAATATTACTACCTTGTTAACTCAGAAAATAACTTGACAACACTGAATTTCATTGTTTCTATGCTTTATTTATTATCTTGTCATCAAACCTGAAGTCATGTCAGAGCAGAGAGATGCACTTTGCTATAGAAATTCCTATATAATTTCTATTGCTGTAGATTTCCTATGTTTTAATGGTGATCTACATATAAGAATGCCCACTATGCCTAGGGCCTAAAACTGAAGATTAACCCTATTAGTTAGTGGTCTTCAGAGATCCACAACCTAGACTGGAGGCATACTGACATTTTTCTTATTTCTCGGGTCATTACACATGAGGAGCTCCCCATGTCTTGTCTTATACTTATCAATAATCAAAATGAAAATGGTTGTATTTGAAGCACGTCTTATTCAGGTACTACTGTACATGGGCACTCCTTATTTGTGAGGCACAGAAGCAGATGCTTTCCATGTACAAGCATGACAAATATAAATATATCACACATATTAAAATGTGTTACGTTTATCTCATGATCTGATTTCTTTTTCACACGTTGCAAAGAAAATTGATAGAAGGCAAAAACTGGTCCCAGATCCGCAATCTTCACCTATCTCCTAGAAGTTTATCCTTGAAAGTAAGTTGCGAGACTTCAAGATCCCAAATTTCCTTCTTTCCCCCTTCTCTACCCCCCTTTCCCCCCCAAACCACATCACTTGCAGTCCTGTTCCGAGAATCAGGAGATGTCATCTGAAATGGTGCCACCTTCACAGAAATCCCACTATTCTGGAATGATACCATCTGCTGCAGCCCAAGTGCTCTTTTTTAGCCAAATAAGTTAATTATAATTAGGCATCCAACAACTGTGTGGAGGTAGGGATAGAAATCGTTGTGAAGTTCAGCTGAGGTTCACCCAGCACAGTTTGAATCAAATCCCATTCTCTCAGGAAGATTAAATACCAGAGATTTGAAAACCAGGCACCATCATTTCTCAAAGAAGTTGGAGAACTCTCTGGGGGAACATCTCGAATCTCAAACAGAGCTCTTTTCGCATGCCCATCAAATAAAACCCGACAAAATGGTAGCATCAGACACTTTTTGTATCGTGCCGGCATCTAACGCGAGGTGAGTCCTGCGGGAAGGACCCGAGCCCTTCACGCCGGCTGGTCGCTGCAGCCACCGCTGCAGGTGCTACAAGGGAGACATTTCTGAGCCATTGCCTCTAACACTGCTCTCCAACCAGGTGAAGTGTTGTTCGATCATCACTAAAAGTATACTGTTGTCCTTTTTGCAAAACAACAAAAACAATGTTAATCAGGTTAATTCAATCATCTAAACCAAAACTGTTCATGCTTTTCTGCCAAATCAACCAACCACAGCAAAATCTGTTATCAGTGATTGCTCAGCTTCCAGTCAAAAAAGCTTTTAACCCCCACAGTCCCAAAACTTCCCCTAAATAACCTTAAAATTATTTTTATATGGGCAGAATGAGGTTGTTTTCATGCCTCATGAAGGGGTAGTTGGGCTGCAGTATTTACACAGAACAAATACTTGCTAACAGACTTAGCAGAGAGTAACAGACACAGCAGCTTCCCAAAACAACTCAGCTGAATTAGATATTGGGGATTCCTTTGCAAATGAAACATTTCCCTCAAAAGGAGCATTGTAACCAAAACTTATTTAGGCCTTCCAGGTTGTTTAACCAGGAAAAAAAAAAATCCAAGCTTTTTTGCAACTCATTCATCGGTGTTTAAAGCTTCAAGCCTGCTCAGTGGAAGGGGCAAGGGCTGCAACAACTTATTTACACAATTATCTAAATACGATTAAACAGCTGATGGACAAATATTAAACTGGAAAATGTATAGTCATTTCAGCTTAATGTAATCCTCTTTTTGTAAACACCCAAGATGATTTTTTTTTCAACCAGAACAGTCCTGACATCTCATAAGCCTAAGGGTGAATAGCAAGAGATTGTTTTTGATAGTTATAAATATTCAAAAGACATGCAGACCATCTGCTTTCATAATACAGGTAAAGCAAGACTGAAATGGTGACTGCTGTATAAAAATGGTTCTTTTAACAAAGTCTTCCTCTCCTCGAAAACTATAAAGACAGATGTCAAAAACTGTTTACACAGGGTAATCAGGAGCGTGCAAAATGTAATATTCCTTTTACACACAGTGCTTGCTAAAGAGATTTTTTTTTTCTTTTTCTTCCCATCTGTGTGTTGCAACACATTTCTACAAGTTAAAAACATTTTTTCAAACAGAGATCTCATGAATACCCAAAAACATGCTATCTGGTTTCTGAATGCTAATTAATTTCAACTAAGGAATCTGATTTTTTTTTCTGTAGGAAGGAATGCATGCTTTTGAAATGGAGTACTTCAACAATAACAGACACTGAAAACAGAACACCCCACAAGTTTAATTTTGCACTAGTTTGACACTGGCTATTTTCACAACTGTTTTACATTCAAACCCGCATCTGCTAAATCTGGGTATAAGACAGAGAGGAACTATTCTCCCGCTTTTCAAATGAGATTTGATTTATGTTTTACTATTTATCAAGTTTTTCAGCATAAAGCCTTGTAACTACATAATGGTTTTGTCAAGTGGTAAGTAGAAGATACCTCGTCTTCCAAGCAGAATATGAACAGTGCTGCCCAT